GGGGGGGGGGGGGGGGGGGGGGGGGGGGGGGGGGTGTACTCATAGCCGTGCATGCTGTGGTCGTCAAACCGTTGACCTCGCATTCCGGCACAGCCGGAGCACGCCGGCTTCTCACTGGACCAGCGTGTGTGTGCGTGTGTGTGGGCGCTCTTATGTTTACCACGCCTTAGCGGTTAGACCATCGACCACGCGCCCTCGAGAGGACGGAGCATGTGTGTGTGTGTAATCGAAGGTGGCGTAGGCACGCGACGCACCCCAACGAGCCGCACCTTGAGGACGACACCCTTGTAGACGTTGCCGGTGGTCTGGTCCTTGGCCAACTTGCCCGACAGCCCGAAGTTCGCTAGCTCCTGCGGGGCGGCTGGCTGCGCGTCTTTTCGCTCCTCCTGTTCGCGGCGAAGAGGCACGGGCCGGGTATGTCGAAACCGCCGCCATCACCATGGCAAAAGGGGGGGGGGGTCACGGTGAGCGAAAAGGTAGATACAGGTCCGAGCTGCATGCATGTAGCAGAAACGACAGAGAAGAGACAGATAGAGAGACCAACAGATTGATTGATGGATAGATACAGAGATGGAGAGAGAAAGAAAAATAGATGGAGAGATAGATAGAGATACAGAGAGGCGCAGACAGACAGGACAGACAGATTACAGAGCAATCGACACCGAGAGAGATGAGAGAGAGATACGGCAGCTGAAGAACAGCGAGCGCAACAGCTGCAGAGACAACGCTGCGTCCGGCCAACCGTGGAGTAGGAGTGTTTCGGTTTGGTCGCGGTGTTAAATCACTCGACACCGGACCATCCGTCCCGCTCAAGCCAAGCCTACTAGCATCATTCCTCTCCCTCGTATCGAGAAAACGCCAACCATCAGGTGCTCTTAGGATCTCCACGTACTACTGCCATGCTTTCCACGACAAACTATTGCGTGACATTACCCTCTCTTCCGTTGTGCTTTGTGTGGGGAGCGGGGCGGGAAAAGCGACCTCCCGCGTGGGCAGGGATGGCTGCGTGGCTTACACGGGGAAAGAGCGAAGGTCCCATGCACACAGAAAATTGGAAGCCTCTGCTAGCGCCGCTCGCCGCGCGAAGAGATGTTCACAGCGTTGTTCTCCCTTCAAAGAAAAAAAAACAACGATCATCGTCGAAGCACAACAACTTGCAGTCGTAGGCCCTCTATAAGGCGGGTATGTGCCAGATCGATTTGCCCGCCCTGGGCACCCGCCCTCTTCAATGTACTAACCGTCTTGAAAATTCAACGTGTGCCAGCCAATTTCACCAACCCATTAGCGGGCACCCGCCTAGGCGAGGGCCTACGACTGGACCGCGTGAGAGGTTGCAAGGGAGGAGGCGAACGAACACAAGCGAACAAAACACTCACGCGAAAAAGACCGAAAAACCACTCCATGCGTCGGCACCCACCCGAACCTACACGTCGCTCTGCTCCCAATTTCGTGTGAGAGCGATCGCTTGCTATTGTTGCGATGTTTATGTTTCCATTCGAGCAGCGGATGTCACGAATACATCCCAGCAGGACTCATGCAACCAACACAAGACACTCCAGCGAAGATAACGCAAGAGCAGAAGCCAAAGTGCTCCTCAACTCCGTGATACAAAATAGAGCGATCTTCGGCTGTTCCCATACGTTCATCGGATCAGTGAACAGCACGCCATCATGCCGGCAGGACGCACGCAACTAACGCAGACAACGCTCTCATCGCGGCGAGGACCACATAAAAAAAAACTTACCCCTTGGCGCGCTTCCGCTCCACCCCACCCGTACTTCTGCCCCCCGTGATCCTTCCCTCGTCCGTTCCCCTTCTTCAGCAACGCCCCGACGTTACTCCTGGCCGTGTCGGCTACCGCCGCGGCGTGCGGCGGCGGAGGCGGTGGCGGCGGCGGCGGGGGG